CAAGACACTGCAGCTACCTTCCTATAGGACAACACCTCCCCCCCCCACTTTGGTCTCCCAAACAGTCCGTGCAGCAGACATTCCTTGGGAAGTTCTATCTAGGTTGACTTAGACCTCAAGTCTCTGATACTTGAGAGGGAACCAAATGGACTTAACAGTTATCTGTTAACTGTGTCTCCATTTGCATATCAGGTGAGATGTCAGGGAAGCAGGACCCTAGGTCATAAATTTTGTACTTTAAAAGAGAAAAATCTTTCACTAACCCACCTTTGGACAATATGGCTCTGGTGCTAGTAGTGAACAAATATAGGAGATAGCTGTGCTCACTTCTGTCTCTCCCTTTTTTTAAACAAAACAAGACTAAAAACAATAGTACAGAACTTTAAATCAGCATAGTAGGAGTTTAAAATGGTTACTATATTGTGAATTGTTATCTTCAAAGTAGTTGCTCAGATTACAAGATACAGGCATGGAAAAATAATCAGACAATGAAAGCACAAATCATTCTTTTTTTAAGGAATAAAACCAAACCAAACCAAACAGAATAAAGCCAGTCAAAACAAAACAATGGAAGTGATGCAGGACTTCAAACAAGATGACAGTAAATTAGCAATGGTTACCATGATACCCCTTGTTATCCAGTAGTTGTCCACACCATGGATGTAGGAATGTAAAATTAACCAGTCAATACAAGAACTAAATTGCTTCTTTACTTCATTTGTTATCAATTTGAAATAAAATATTTCAGGTGTGTGACCTCTAATTTCTACTATGTCTATGTCTCCTGAACCTGTTCTATGTGGTCTATTTGTCTGAGATTGTATTTTGCTGCTTTGTCTTGACATTTTTCTGTGTTCCTCCTAATCAGCCCATTGCTTCCAGCACTGGCTGCCAGTTGCTCTATGTAGTGGATTGGACTAGGCACCTGGGTTCCTTTGATCTGGGGTTCCTGGAGTGGTGGAGAGGCACAGGGCATTCACCAATGCTCCTTCTATCAATATCAGTGGGACCTCAGGGTATGGTTTCTTCTCCAGGCCTATGATAGGCTCACTGGATCTCTCTGGGCCACTCGCATGGAGTGTTGGGGCATGGCTTCTTACTATTAAGTCCATTTGGTTTGGTCCATTTGATCCTATTAAGTCTCGATTTGGTTCAGCTCTGATACTTCTTGCTGATTTTCTATCTAGTTGGTCCATCTCTCAGTGACAATGGGTATTTAGTTATCCCATTTCAATTATGTTACTGCTTATTTGACTTTCCATGTTGATCAATAACTGTCTTATATAAGTGGGTGCTCCTGTATTAGGTGCATATATATTTATGATTGCTATGGCATTTGTGCTGTCTCATTGCTCCTTGACTGCAATCTTGTGTTATTCTTCTGTGCTTCATTGTGTAGCTGTTGGGTTAATTTCTCATGGCCTCTTCCTATTTTTAGGATATCTTTGTCTTCATGATCACTAGCTGCAATTTTGTTTAAGATCTGAAATTCTATCCTTTCCTTCATTCAGTGTGTTGCATATACTTTCAATGGAGGTTTTAATCTCATGGGTCTCTCTCCGTATTTGTTTCATGGATTCTATTTCTTTCTTGCATTGAGCATTTTTGTTTCCATCTTTTTCTGAGCTCATCTATTATTTATGTCTTCTCTAATATCTTTGATTTTAAGATTTCTTTTTGTACCAGAAAGATCATTTTCTCTACGCCCTTTTCCACTTGTTTTTTTCACTTCTGTTGTTACCATTCCAGAAAGTTCTAGTGTTTGACTTCTACCTTCATCCATGTCATTGAGTTCCAGGTCTATCCTTGGTGGACACTGTGTCTGGGGCTGCACCCCACCTCTGCATCTTGCCATTCTCCATCTTGTTTTTTCTTTTGTCTTCTATGTTGATGTTCACCAACCTCCTATGATATATAGCTCTACCACCAGCATTGAGGCCTCTCTCAAAGAGGAAAGGAGATGTCCTTGCCTTAGGGATATCCCCCAGGTGTGCTTGGTTCTTTATAGCTACTCTAAGAACCTACCATCTTCTGGTGTTTACAGTTCTGTGATAGTATTCATGTTACATACGAGAGATGTGCTAGGTATGGAGCCAGTCTTGGCCTCTGGATGTGGGGGCCAGGACTGGTCTTCTCCAGAGTCCAACTGCTGTCTCCCTGTTACTGCTTCAGATGCTTCTGCATTATTCACCTTGCTAATTACTTTGCCCTCCAGAGGTATGCATGCATCTGTGTTCTAGGCTGTTGTCCTGAGTCTTGGATTTCCCTTTAGAGGGTCACTCTTTCAGCCAGTTGGATCGGCAGAATGCAGTGGAGGGGACCCTGATTGCAAACTCACTGTTTTCCAATCAGCCCTACCATCTGAGATATAATGGCGGCGTGTAGAGCTCTCCTCCAGCTGGCCTGCCCTCTGGAAGGTAATGGAGGGGTGCAGAGCACAGACTCACTGCCTTCCAGCTAACTGGCCCTCTAGATAAATCGTTCTTTGATGAACTAACAAGAGAGTAATAGTATGATTATCTAATATATATATGTGTGTGTGTGTGTGTGTGTGTGTATACATACATAGATATAATCTTTTCACTTGTCTTTGAACACTTCATACCTCCCATATCATGCTTCCCATAGTAAGCTCCTTCTAGAACTTACTATAAATAAATTTGTTGCCTCAACTGATAGTTATGTTTATCAGAAAAAGAAAAGCAGATTCATTGATCATGTGTCCTTTTTTTACCTTATTTGTTAGCAAATTCAAGAGTTAATTTTAGAGTCCAATATATTGATCACTTTCTGGAAGAACGTGTCTCTATGATGTCTAATCTCTGAGAGAAATAGAAATCTAGAGAAAGAACCACAGTACTTTTTTTCTTGAATACTAATGCTTTTTGGAAATTCTCGTGGATAACTGCTGATTAAGAAAGTTAAATTCAAGTCACATCCCTCTCTCTTACAGGTTCTTAGTCATTTGAAAGATATCAGAACCAGTTACATTAGCAGTATTATAATATAGAACACCAAGTTTTCTAGTAAATATTGATAGGGAAATGTTTCTGCAGTGTAAAATGCAGTTCTACCCCACCCCCTTCATGAATTATGCAGATCTGGTCTTCAGGACTCACCTGTGGATCAGATACAGAGGATTGCTTCCCACTAAAGCCAGAAACAAGAGGCCACAGGGAGACAGTCTGTTCTCCTGGCTCTGAAAGAGAGATTCTAAGTTATTGTCCATTTGGTTTGTGTAACAGACCAACAGCAAGACATGAGCAAGAGCATGTGTGTTCCTAACTGACGATCCTAAGCAGATCCACAGCCTGCTGCAGGGTATCCAGCTGATGGGGCTGAACTCTTACCATTTCAAACTTTTTAATAATTCTCCCAAATGAGTGCCTTTTTCTTACTCACACAAAGGTTCCATCAGAGCTACAGGGAACCTGCTTTTACCCCAGTCTCATCTGAGTCACTCCCATGATAAGGAAAGGAAGGTGTGATGGTGTGAGGGATTTGGAGTAGGCATCAAGTGACCAGATAATCTAGTGCGTGCTTCTTTGAGACGTGGACAAATGTCTTCCCTCTATATTTGAAAAGTAAGGAATTAACATTGTCTAGTTATGGTAATGTAAATTGATAGAGAAAAAATAAGATACAGAATAAAGCATGGTGTTCAGTAAGAACTTGAATTGTCACACATTCAAAAAATGTTATTAGTTAGATTCTAAGGAAAAATGCTAGAATGACTGGGGCTGTAAACTGTAGACTGCGATATCACAGGGATATACTGTAGCTGATTAGGGCTGGAAAGGAAGAATGACCTAGTAAACCCTTCACCCTGCCTATTGTTTTGCAAGCTGCATACTCAACCTGCTTGAACTAGACTATCAGAGCATATAACGTGGGTACATTTATGTTGTGTGAATTAATTTTATAATGTGAAAATCTAAAATGAATTGTAGTACAGTAGTACCTTGGATCACAAATGCTTTTGTGAACCATTTGGTTCTCAAAAGAAGCATTTGGCAGTTTTGTTTTTGTTACTGTGCATTAGATGATAAGTGCAATCACGGCCATCTTCCTTACATGAACATGAATATGACCATCCTTTCTAGAATTGTGAAATGAATTAAATTCATGAACCACGGTACCATTGTATTAATGCCCATAAACTTCAGTCCAGGCTTGAAGAAACCATTAGCCTTTGCCCCTAGAAATGCCTCCTGAGAACACAGTGATGAATAAGAGTTATGAAAGCAGACTGTGCACAAGTCTTCCTGGTGTCCCAATCCAGCATCCTGTTTAGTTCTGAAATTTCTCAGAAAATGACCTACTCCATGTAAGCATATGGTTCTGATTGACATTAATGGGATTCCCTTGCAAACCACAGATTCTAAATTATCCCCCAGTAGGCACAACATTTATAGGAGACAGATTATTTTACCTGGAATACCCCTTGGGCACTGTTACTGAGTTCTGACAGACGCAGAACTGAGACAAGAGATTGTAGTAGAATATCACTGTTCACATGTTCATTTCTTTCTTTCTTTCTTTTTTTTTTTTTTTTTTTTTGTTTTGTTTTGTTTTGTTACCGGGGATCAAACTCACAACCTCATACTTGCCAGGCAGGCACTTATGCCACTGAGCTAAATCCCTAGTCCTACATGTTCATTTCTTATTAGCCACAGAAATTAGATATTTCTAAGCAAAGAAAAATTTTTAAAAAGATTTAATTTCATGCTAAGAAACATTAGTCAGCCTATAGTACTTATTTGCTTCGGCTCCTTCTAAGGGCCAGGCATTTGGGGGTGGGGTGGGAGGAGGAAAGGGTATTTTTTCCCAGGTCTAAAGAATAAGTAATTCAGTAGGCATTCCACGTTCAGCTCACAAAAAGGGGATTTGCATGTGAAATTATTTCAGCAAGAAAGCACATCATACTCAGAGTTCCTGGGAACTCCCCTTTAACAGTGGCAGCTCCTTCAGCCACCTCCTATTTTTTCCTCCTTCTGCAGGTCACTGGATTGACATTGTCTCAGGACCTTGATGATCTCGCCATCCTCTACCTGGCCACGGTTCAAGCTCTTGCTGTAAGACATGCCAATGCCATTTTTAAAAGGAGTCTAGGACTATCAGTATATGCAGTGTGATTTTAAAATATAGTGTGTGATGAAATTTTCAAAACACTGAGTATAGTAAATGATAATCCCTATCAAAATACTCTCCGTCTCTTTGAACACGTCTATACCATCATTCTGGCCATTTTCTGCAGCAGTTTTGGAAGTCCTCTTTTGTGTCTTTAGTGGTATTCTCATAAGTAGCTCAGTGTCATGCAGTGATTCAAAGGCTTACCTATCATGATCCTTTTGACTTTGGAAGAGAACGAGAAGTCACACAGTGCCACATCTAGTGGATAAGGTTGGTGAGGACATCTTCTAATGTTTTTGTGATCCAGTCTTTCCACTGGATGGCACTCAGCAACAGAATTTACTATATTTTTTAATCTTACCTCTTAAAGACACAAATGACTTTGTTAATGCTACACAGAAATATATGATATTCAGTTATTCTATTTCTCAAAACAGTGCTTTTACAACCTTATGACTTTGAATATTAGAACTAAAAGCATATTTATCAATATCACCAACAGAAGTTTTTAATACTCAGATCTAGCTAGATGCCATGCATGTACAATAGAGAACAAAACTGCCCAATTACTAAAGTAATATATACTTTCTTTAATGTCACTGTGTAGGAGTATAGAATCAATCAACCTACCAAGCAGTCCTTGCCAAGAGCAGTCAATCTGTGTGCTAGCGTTACTATATGAGAAGTTTTACAATGGGATGAATCACTTGCATTGAAATGGATAACCCAGAAAATCAGCCACCTGAGCACAATGCTAAGACATAGATAAAAAGGACAAGATCATCCAGGATGTGTTGAGGGGCATCATTACACAGTGGTCATGTAATATCTCATGACCTCTGGGAGGACTCCAACCCTGTGCCTCATTGTACAGACAAGAGAAAGAGGATGGTGCTAAGTCCACACAGCATGTGCATGTTGGTTGGCATTTGAACCTTTGTCGGTCTTCCTCCGAGCAACCTACTCATCCCACTTTACCTTGCTACATTTTTCTTTGATCTATTTGTAAAATCTATTTGGATGAAATAAGCCTTTAAATATTCCTAAGAACAGTTTTTACTAACACACTAGAAAATATGATTTCCTTATCCTGGAATTTTTTTAAGAAGTCTTTTTCTTAATAAGACCAATGCAGCAGGAAGTCCAGGAATGTAAAATTAGTTAAACAATATAAGCAGGATTGGGGGGACAGTACCACAGTTTGAAAAGTCAGTCTTATATTTAATTGGGCATACATGTATTCAAAGTGATCAAATTTATTCTCTCCATTGATTTAATGATCTTTATAATACATTAAAGGAAAGGCATTTTAAATAAGATTTCTTGATAAGGCTCTATTGTGGAGTTTATTGAATCGAGGGGAGTTCAATTAGTTTTAAAAAAGTATCTGAATGTACTGATCTTTTAGGCAAAAATGTGCATTTTTAATAAACTGTTCTGATAACACATAACATCCTATAATGTTTGACTTGGAGAAAATAGTTTAGTTTTGATTATTTTTTTCCTGGGCCTTGAATATTGCCTTAGCTTCTATTTGATGTTTATAAGTTAAATAAGTTCCTCCCTGTGGTAGTATCTATGGTTAGTATTTGGCAGGAATAGAATGAAATTAAGGAAGGTTGGAAAACTTACCTCTCAAGACTGCAAAACTGAAATTTCTGATACTTCTAAAACCAAACACCTAGAGTTGGCAGCCTAAGAGGAGCGTAATGCACAATAGATTTCCTGGGAAAAGCCAACGAGATAGCCGAATAAGGGTATTCCCTCAGGGTCCCGACAGCCCGTCTCACTCCTCCTTAGCACTGTGGCCTGCATTTCCTCCTCCAGCAGTTCCTTACAGAGTGTTCCGTTTCAGTGTGGTATCCCAGACTCCACTCTGTGTAACTCTGCCCACCAAAGAGCTTTGTGTGAAAATGATTTTGTGCTCACCTTTCTGGAAAAAATGTTTTCACCAAGTATTTAAATTAAAATTAGGCTATTCCACTGGGAATGTACAGAACCAAATGCAAATCAATAGACTTCAAATGCAAATAGTACTTTTAAAGGGTCCATTCTCAAAGAAAACCGCAGAACAGGCTGTGGTGAACTGGGTGGCTGACAGGTCTCAGTGAAGTGTGAGCAAGGGAGAATTTTATTGCATGGAAGGTTTTGCAATTCCCATGCAAATTGAAAAACAGCTACCCTGTCCACAAATTATCTAAGTGGGAATAACAATATGTAGTTTCTGAGTTTAAGATTAGAGATATCATAAAGTACACAGTGGAATTTGTAGTACATAGCTAATAATCAGAAGAGCTATTTTGTGAGAACTTCTCACGTGCTCTTGCCTACTCTGCCTACAGCACCAAGCTTGGAAGTTAAGTCACTGTTTATTAAGTCGGAGACTTTATTTTCCATAGCACTATTTTTGACAGTCTAGAATTTTCTGCTGAGTGAATATTGCTTTACTGTTCCTGTGTAACAAGTGAGCATAGCGTCTGAGAAAGGTTAAGTATAAGAAATAGATGAAATGCCTGAATGTTGGCCTAGGGGTCTTTTTTCTCCTTTATCCTAAAACTTGCGCCTTCAGCTATTATGGATCCATATCCCTAGAGAGACCAGCATTGCTGTAACCCATGATCCATGGTGGATTTAAGGGCATCTATTAACCTCATAAAGTTATGTGTAGAACTATATTCTGTGGGACCTGTTTTTTCTGGGTAGGTCAGTAGGTTTTATCATATTTTCAGTGGAGTTCATGACCCTCCAAAAACCTAAGAAAAACATCTGGGAGTAATCAGCCATAGTCAATAAGCAGGATCTGGCCTTACATGTTTTAATTTTTTAAACACGATACATCTGTGGGTTCTCACTGGCGGCCCAAGTTTCACCTAATGCATATTTTTGCCAGATTCATGAACGGCTTCAACAAACCCTGAAGAGCTCTAGGCTGCAACTGCTGTACCTTTTCCCTCTACCTTGCCCCATCCCTCATCATTTCCTCCTCACCAGCTGGCATTCCATACCCTCTGATCCCAGGTTCCCTTCTGATACTGTCTTCCTCAAAGGCTCCCCATGCCCAGGGGAGGCATTTCTGCCCCCTCTTTCCCTCAAGATGAACTATCTGTACTTGTTCTCTATGTACTGTGTTTCCCTACAATACAGTCATTCTGTCACCAAAAACTACCAGCTGGCCCCTAACTTCTGCAGCCTGCCTCTCACCTCCTTCTTGGTGGCAATACCAAAAAGGGTCCTCTGTGGAGATCCTGGGGCCTTTGGATCCTTGACCTTTTATCCCCCCGGACCTTCTCCCCTCTGTACTTCAGCAGTTCACACCCATGCACACCATGTCCCAGAATTGCTCAATCTCTGAACATTTCAAGGACCACTCCCAATCCTCTTTCTCACTGCTCTCCAGAGCTGCCCCACAGGGGTTGCTTGTGGCTGCTCCTAAAGGGCAGGTCACAGTTCCTCTTGTTTTTGATCCTTACCCCCAAATAAGTTATGAATTTTGAACTTTTAGTGTTTTTTGCATTTCAAAATGAATTAGAATCTCCAGCTGTTTGAATAGCTTGGTCAAAACTAAAGCATTACATTATAGTTCACCTCAGTAACTCTAAGGTTAGTGTCCTCATCTCAAACTATCATGACTTTTACTGTGCTTAGTGCATTCATCAAGACAGAGATGAGGATAATTCATTTTAGGAAGGCACCAGGTCAGAGCACCCCAATAGCCAGAGCTGAGCGCACAATGGGTGAAGCTTTGAGCCAGCCAGAGCAAATGCCCTCCACCTCATCCCAAGTCATGAGTATGGGCTAACACAATGATGGCAAAACTTTTACAGCTTTCAGTGATACAGACAGCCCACTGCAGCACAAGTGCCAGTCAGTCTCTACTACAGGGATGAATGCTGACTCCAGAAGCCTCTCTACTAGAGGACTAGTATCCTGCTTCAGCCTGTGGCAAATTAGGCTTAGCCCATTACCATCCTGAAAACTGGTGTCTCACGTTCTTCATGCAATTGGAGACCCTTTCTGTTTCTGCTTAATAACTGTGTTATTTGGCATCTTTACTAAGGAAAGTCTTTAGTTCTCCTTGGTGAAACAAGAGTGACCCCAGTGTCATTACCACTGGTGATTTCAGAGCAGTATTGCAATCAGTCTCATCCCAATACCTAACAGAAGGCCTGGGTTGTAACAGACTGTCATCAAATATTTGAAAGAACTGTGTTAATATTAACTGTGTTAACATCATCCATCATTTTTGTCCGTGTCATGTAATTACTGATAGAAGTAACTGGTGGAGCAATGAATAGGCTTTTGGGGTCCAACAGGCCTGGGTTGGAGTTCCCACTGTGGTTTGATTAGCTGTGTGATCAAGGACAACATATCTCTGTGAGCACCAGCTTTCTGAAGAGGTGTACATAAAGCTGTCAGCACAGAGTCAAGCACTGTGGAAATACTTAGTAAGTGCTTATTATTTATTTTTGCTACCATGCTAATGGTTCTTTATGGTTTTTTCTTTTAAGTTTGGGACCCGCTTCATCATAGAGGCCATGGAAGCAGCAGGGCACTCTATCAATACTCTTTTTTTGTGTGGTGGCCTGAGCAAGAATCCCCTTTTTGTGCAGATGCATGTGGATATTACTGGTAAGTCTCTTACGAAGAGGGATGAGCAGCAAAGGGGCATGGCCACATTCTGGGCAGACTGAGAACATGAGGTTGTAAGAAGTGCCACGCTATGAACAGGCCTGTGAAGTCCTCAGGCTCAGGGTTGGGAAGGGACTTCCATCCATATCCAAGTGCTGAATGGGATGAGACTGGCAGGGTGAGATCTTGATATGGGCAATTAGTCCACACAGCTCTGAGTGCCTCTTTCCTCCAGGCATGGCGAGAAATTGGGGATGTAAAGATGAGTGAGGTGTGATTTTTGCCTCTGTAGAACTGAAGGCCCACTGAGAAAGAAGGGAAAGAGCAAACAGACACTTTCAGTTCAGAGCACTAAGAGCCCTGAGTGGGAGAACAAGACAGTAGAAGCTTCTGTGACAGTGCAGGACATGTGACTGAGAAGAAGTGATTGGGACACTGTGTTGAAGAAAGAATGTGGAGTCCAGGTGCTGGGAGAACCAGGGTTTAGCTATAGACTGGAAATTTGACCAAGAGACCAAGATCCTGAGGTTCCTCCTCAGCTCATCAGAATCAGGACTCAGGACGCAGGAGGGAAGTCAGAGAGCAGAACAAGCTCTTTCTGATGTGAGCAGGTAGCGGCAGAGGAACATCCTTTGGCAGAAGATGCCCTGAGGGGCACAAGGCTGACATGGGCACCCTCCCAGCCCTCGTCCTCTTTCTCCTCTGTTGTCTCTCTGCTCCTTCCAAGGACTCATTCCAGAGCAGGTGGGGACCAGGGCAGGTCAGAGGAGGGAAGTAGGGGAGGATTGGCACCTATCCACAGCCCCTGCTCCAGCTGAATATAAGCCTATTGGACCCTGGCCTCTAGTCCTTGTGACCCTCACTGTCCTATGCCCCTAGTTCCTTGACTCTGACAGCTGGGCAGTCAAAGATTCTGAGTTCCCTGTAGCTTCCGCTGCAGGTCATCCCAACCCATGCACGTGAGAAAGTGGACATAGTTGACCCCTACACATTGTAAGATGAAACTAAGTAGGGCTAATTATCTTCATCTTAGAGATAAATAGACTGAGGTACAAGTCAGAGACTAGTTTAGAGAAGGACACAGTATAAGGGTACATCTATCAAGATGAGAACTATCATTACTACCCATAATTACTGCCATGAACCAGTCACCTAATATATGTCAGTGTGGATTATTCTAAATACATTTAATCTTTCCCTACCACCAAAATTAAAAACTTATCTTACAAGTTAACTGAGGATAGGTAAGTGAATTAAGTTGACCTGTGAAAGTCAAAAGAGCCAGTATAGGACACAACCTGGCTTGTAACCAACCCCATTGAGCCCACGGTCCCTGTACCTTACTGTTGACCTAGATTTATTGGTTCTTCTTTTGTAACTGATAATGGCTCTCTTTTCCCAAGGAATCCACACCTATGGAATTGACCAGAGTGTGCTGGAAGGGAGAAGAGAGATGCAGGAGCCAGATTACCTAATCACTTGCCCCAGGAGGAAAACCATAATTATATTTTATGTAAAAATCAGCTGGGTAGTTCAGATAAGGTTTAGACTTAAAATCTGGCCCGTGACTTTACAATTTTCAGTCTTCTAACGACTAAAAATATCCCACCTGGATGAAGAAGTGAAACAGAAATCACCTCTGGGTGACATACTGCCTGAGAGAATGGCAAGCCAGGGCCTGCAGGGCAGGGCGGACAGGCATGACCCAGTAGGGGTGGCCTGACACTCAGGGTCTGGCCCTGGTGAACGTGGGTCTTCATCTGCCCTGATGTCCCTGAGCTGACTCAGAACCAGAGGCTCAGCAGCTTTCTTAAAAGTCCTACTTCAGACATGCTGTCTTCCAAACTGTTGAATGAAAAGGCTGTTAATCAGTGTTTAAATTCAGATTAAAACTGAACTCTTTGTCTCTAAGTATGGGCCAGTTACAGTTTTGGACAAAGGGACCTTTTCTTTGACCTAAAATTTCTCTGCCTTTAAAAGCCTCTGACTGACAAGTAATGGCAAAGTGCATCTGCCTTTAAATATTTTGGGCTCTGCTAGGCTTATTAATGCATCAGATAAAATAGTTCACATTCCTCTTCCTCTCCCTCGCCCAGCTCCAGGAAGAAAGAACACATTTGCATCTGTCCCTGTGAAAAGCACCTACCTGCACAGGCAGCCAGCCAGCAGCCACACACAGCAGCCAGTGGATAGGTAAAGCTTTGATGCCATTAAGTATGCCATTAACTACTGCTGTAGTTTCTGTGCTAAGAAAGATTCAGAGAGGACCACAGGCATGAAGCATTATTCCCAGAAATACACATGAGAAAGCACAAAGGACTTGGAACATTCTTTGCAAACAATATAGCATCCTGAAAGAGCAGAAGGGCAGCTTTGTGATCTAGGGCAAGTTCCTTTCCCTCTCTGAGCCTCTGTTTTCTCTTCTGGAAGACAGAAATGTCATCACCTGCCTCATGTAGCTGGGCTGAGAAGTAAATGCTCATTAGTTTTCGCAGCAGACTCTGCCTGCTTTTCAGTAGGCAAGAAGTAAATGTTGATTCACATTAGTCCAGGTGATCTCACACCCAAAAGAAGGGATAGTAAGAGGAAAAGCTGTTTAATATTTTGGAAGCAAAACCTTTGCTGTGTTAGGAGCAGCGTGCTCTGTGCATTCAGGGAGATGGGCTTTGTCAGCTCAAGAAACGTCATCTGCAGGAGGAAGAACTTCCTTGTACCCTGGCGCTTCAGTTAACTGTGGTTTCAAGTAACTCCTGGAGTGGACTAAGTAATTGTAGGTTTCCCCTGATGATATGGAACTAAATGTTCCTTCTGCTGAATTTTGTTTTGAGTACTGGCAGTTTTGGTTAGGGTTTCCCTCTTCTGGCCTTACTCATTGTCTTAATCATTCATTCTTTCACTTATGCACTCTGTATGTCAGCCTATCAGGGGCTGGGCTTGGTGCGTAGAAATAAAGAGCAGTGATGTCTTGCCAAGAGTTTTCTTTAAAAGAGAAAACATGCTATGGTCCTCTGACAGAAAGACCAGATACCAGAGAGGTGGTGGGACCTTGGAGGACAAAAGTGTCAGGGCCAGGCAGGCCCAGACTTGGAAAAGCCATATGCACACAATGGGTTACCTAAAGTGCAATGCAATGAGAGGTTTATTTAGGGAGATGGGTCAGGGTATAAGGAAACTCAGGCAACCAGAAAGTTAGCTAGGATTATAACAATGTTGCCACCTCCAAGCTTGGAGGGATAAGGGGCCTGTGCCTCTGTGAAGAGGGATCCCCTAGGAGCTTAGTCAGAGATGTAGCCAAGAAGATATGGTCTACAACAGGCAGCATCAGGGTTCAGTGTGCCTGGGGAGAGGCAAGGAGGAGATGGGACTGGTCTGAGAAGCAGAGGGAACTGGTGGGGAGTTCTACCCACTGGAGCAATTCAGACAGGCGAGGTGTCATGAATAAAGGTAGGCTTTAAGAGTCTTAACAGCACTGCTTATCTAGTGCATTCTCCAAGTCATACACTGTGTTAAATGCCTGACTTTTAATAGAATGTTTAATTCTCATACTAACCCTAAAATGGGTAAAATTTTCACAGTTGGAAAAAATGAGGCACAGTCAGGTCAGGTAACCAGCCTAGGTTCACAGCTAAATCAGCAAGGAAGCCAAAATTCACACCCTGGCAGTCTGTCTCCAGATCACTCCAGATCTCAGGGCTGCAACCTGAGAATGAACAAAGAATTCATTCAGCTCACTCTGATCTCTGGTTCCAAGGGAAGAGACCTGGAGGGAGTTCCTCCCTGCCAGATATAGGAGGTAAATGGCATTTGGAGGGACTTCCTTCATCTGTACCATTTCTGTGATTTAGAAAGGCATTCAGTGCCCTCTCTTGATTGTGCCACCACAACCCTTCATTGTGGCCTGATCCTGGTCCTATCCCTCTATACAGGTGACAGAAAGGTGCCCGTTCCTTCCCTATTGCTCCAGCTCCCATCCCAGGTTACTTCCTCATAGAGTTACATGCACCAATAACGTTAATTTCTAATAGCAGTGCCACCACTTCTGCAGGGCTCACCTAGGCCAGAAAATGTGCTGCACCCCACCTGCATGCCTACCAGTAATCCTCTCCATGCACCTGTGAGAAGTCTCATTGCCTTTGATAAGGAGGCAACCAAGGCTAAAGGAGTTTAAAGAACCTCCTGGAAAACACAGAGCTCATGGACACAGGAGAGAAGCACAGGTCTGAGTTGTTCCTGTAGTCCTAGCTCATAAGCCTCTACTTGCACCTCAGCATCTGCCAAAGCCTCGATCCACTGTGACAAACATGAGATTTGCTGTCTTATGGCATTCATCATGTCCTAGGTTCTGGTGACAGTACAAAGCCCCTACCCTCATGGAGCTTAACTTCTGGCAGAGGAAAGAGATTTGAACAATAAAGTGTAATGGTAAAGTGTCACTTTTAACTCCCAAGCCCAGTGGGGCATCATCAGTGGGAAGGCTGCATTTGCACAAACCAGGGTCACTGGCACTTCCTATGTAGGCAAATGAAGAACCCCAAAGCATACTAAAGAAATAGATCAGGCCTGTGGAGCAGGCAGGGAAGAGGAGATGTTGGGAAGAGGGAGGCAGGACCAGGAAAGAGGCCTTGCCTGTGGGCTAAGGGCCATGTCCATACTGTGTGAGGCACCAGAGGCTACTAGGCAGCTATGCCCCACTCCTACTGCTTCTTTGTTTTTGGTACTGCTCAACTGAGAACCAGCCCCTTGATGCCCTATGTTTCTTTTTCATCCCATCTCCCCTCTGAGCCCGGAACAGTAGGACACAGTCTGGTTAATCTCAGTATTCCCTGAGCCCAACAAAACACATAATAAGCATTTATTGAACTGGGTGTGAATCAAACAGCAGGTAGCAGCAAGCAGAAGTCTGTCACACCCAGGCACCAAGGGCTCATAGGGTGATGAAGAGATGGTGTTGGCTCCCATAGAGCTCTTGGCTACTGCACTAGCAGGCATACCAGTGAGATCCTTCAGAACTGGTGACCCCAAGGAGCAGGGTTAGAGTTAGGATGGGGGTGCTGCCTAGATGTCAGATGTTTTTGCCACGGGACCTGCTTGTTGCCTCTACACATTGCCTCTAATCTTGCTCCCTAACCAATGGTGGCTTCATCCTGCACAGGCATGCCTGCGGTCCTGTCGCAAGAGGTGGAGTCTGTCCTTGTGGGCGCTGCTATTCTGGGTGCCTGTGCCTCGGGGGATTTTCCTTCTGTACAGGTATGAGGGGGCGATCCTGGGCTGGCTTGTGGTCCTTCATGAGACTGTCCTTCCCTTAACAGCAGCTTACATCTTGCAAAACACATACAGGATATGATTAAGAAATGATAGGTTTCAGCAAGGGAGATCATGAGCGCTTCCTGGCTCAGACATACTTATTGTAGTTTCCATTTCAGTTGACTTCTGTTAGAGTTAGTTGTTCTGTATCTTTTCCTATTGGATTTCTTTTTTAGCATTTAAAATATCTATTAAAATCATATATTTTAAATTTCCTCTTGGCCATTTTTATTTCTGCAAATGAAACAAGTAAGTCTCATAAATTTCCTATGCATTTCAACTTCTGTAGCCTTATTTCAACCTCATAACTTTCCAAGCACCTCTGAGGCCTCTATCAACAAGAAACACTAGATAAAAAGTTGGTTAAAAAATAAATTAAAAAGAAAAATAAGGAACAAAAATATAGGAAGATAGAAGTCATTTTGTAGCTGCGAGTGAGCTCTCAGTTTGGCTCAAAAGAAAGACAGTAATAAGTGGCATAATTTTTATTTTCAAAAAGAAGAAACATACTAGTTTCTGGTAAGACTCAAAACTTTTCCTGCTACCAAATTACAAAACACACTGCATATGTTAGGCTTTGTAAACAGGTTTCAAAGGCTAAAATAATACAAAATAGTACAGAATGAGTGTTGTGTCGAAGCCAAGAGCATGTGCTCTTCAATTCCACCAACCAGGCTCAAACCCACGCTTGGTTACCCACTGGCTCTGGGACTTCACCATCCTGTCTGCAGCTGCCTTTCTCTTGAGCTACTTATTGTCTCTGCTAATTATGAGTTCTCTCTTTCAGTCAGGCACAGCTCTATTATCCCCATTTTATACCTCAGGAAGCAAAGCCATAAAGTGACTTGACTTAACTTGAAACAGGAACCAGGTAACCTAGTGAATCTAGGTTAGATTCACTAGAAGTGTATCTACAAGTGTATCTCTCAAATCTCAGCTGAGAATACAGACATGTTTATTCAGAGAGCTTGATGACTTTGAGGCCCAAGGTCTCAACATTAAGGTTTCCTATCAGTAGCCTAGTGACTGTCTTATATACCAGACACTGTGCTGGGTTCTTCCTAATTACCCATAATAATACTTCATGGACACAAAATCGATCAGCAGAGATCCAGGAAGCTTAAAAACCTTGAGAGTAACCTACTGGCAATGGAAAAATACAGAAGTCTGTTTCCAAAATCCATGCTTTTTGTTCCACATTTTGGGAAATATGGTACATACACTACATATAGCCCACACCTCTGGAACTAAGGACATATATTTCCTGAGGAACTGAATCTATTTTTTTTTAAATTTTATTTAGGGTGAAAAAGAAAAAAAAAAACAGGAAAAGGGTACAAGTTATACAGAATTTCAGAAAAAATAAACAGTAGGAAATCAATAGTTAATAGATTACATATTGTCACCTTAGAAATAGTTGTTCAAGTTACAAAATTAAAGCATATAAAGTGGACTTTCAAACAGTGAGACTGCAAACAGTTCTGTTCAATGATCCAATAAAACTCAGTAATATGGTTATCTATCTTATACACTTAAATATACATGCACTTATATCCTTAAGAGCACTTTCTTTTCCTCTCTTTTGTACAATGACAATTACATATTTTGGGTTTTATTACTCCCACAGTTCTTATTACTTTTTTTGAAGAGAGTAAAACCAAATGTGACATAACAGGACAGAGTCAGTCAAATCAAAAGGATGGACATAATACATAATGTAAAAACAAAACACAAGGTGATCAACAATGGTAACCATACTGCCTCCTGCTATCTTAAAAAGAATTGCCTATATCATCAGTTATAATAAAATTGAACAAAACAGTGAAGAATAAAACTAAAACATTGGAGACATTACAAGACTTGAAAAGAAGATAAGAGTCAATCAGAATGAGCGTCATAATGAATCTTACTGTCTTCAGAGTTGTAGCCTATACTTTCGAACTTGGTACTATTAAGCAAAGCAGAATAGGGGGAAATCAGTCAAAACAAGATGGTGAGAGCAATACAGGGTTTCAAATCAAGTTAACAGGAAATCAAGGTGGGTTACTATAATATATCCTGCTATTTTTAATTTATTTTTCCCTTAATTAAAAAGATAAAAGTAAAAAAGTAAATAATAAAAAAAGGAGATTGAGATAAAAGAAGGCATAATAACAAAACAGTGTAGGTCAAAACATAACCATTTAAACAAAAGTGTTTTACCACAGGATATTCTGACATAAAAGTAGTTACCATAGTGTCTCTTTCCTTGAAATCTTTGAGTATAACTTCGTATACTATAGCACCAAACATATCAAGACAGTGTAAAACCATTCAAGAGAACAATGGAGACAGAGGAATAAAAGCTTGATGGGACTTCAAAACAAGATGATACTAAATCAGCACTAGCTATTATGATGTCTTGTTTTCTCCAAAATAGCTGTTCCTACCATCCGATCTTCTCTGCCTCATTTCTGTTTTGTCTGTCATTAGTTGTCAGTTTGTCTTCTTCATTTCGCTTTCTGCTCCATTCCCTGTGGCCTCTCTCCCACTGTTTCTGGAATCTTGGTATTTATCTTTTTTAGAATATCCTGCAGTATTCTCTGTAGAGTTGAATTGGTGGTTGCAAATCCCCCTAGGTCCTCTTTATCCTGGAAGCACTTCATTTTTCCATCAATTTCTAGGGACAGTTGTGCAGGATGTATCAATCTTGGCTGGAGGTTATTATCTTTCAAAGCTTGAATTATTTCCCCCCACGCTCTTTGTGATTTGATGGTTTGTACCAAGAAGTCTGCTGTAATTCTGATGGGTGTTCCCTTGTAAGTGATCTGTTTCTTGTCTCTGACTGCTTTTAATATTCTGTTCTTATATTGGATTTCTGGAATTTTAATTATTATATGCCTGGGTGTAGCTCTGTTTGGGTGTATGTGACTGGGGTCCTATATGCCTCATACATCTGATTATCTTTACCTCTTGCTAAATTAGGAAAATTCTCCTGGATTATTCCTGTTAATCGCTTTTGTAGTTCATCTGTTTGTGTCGCTCTTCTTCTTTTATGTTCTTAATTCTTAAGTTATAGATCCTCTTATCATCTTCTAGCGTTTGTATTATTGCTGTTTGTTTTCTTGTTATTTTTAAGAAGTTTTTCATTTCATGCTCCCACATTACAAATCTTCCCTCCAGTTCAGATAATCTATCCTTAGTTTCTTTCAAGCTGTTATACCAGCTTTCAATATAGTTTTTAGTTTCCTGGTAATCTCTTTGAACCTGCTTCACATATTCTATGTTTTCTCTATTTTCTCCATCAAACAATTCTCCCCTTTTTTTTTGTTCTTCCATTTCACCATCTGTTTTTTCTTGGGCAGTACTTTGCATTTATCTAAATATTCTACTTATATCTTGCTTTATTTCATTAAATACTTCACTACTGAACTCGTCTGTCAGGCTCTGGAGATATCGCTTTGTGTCTATTGGTGCTGTGTCTGATATTGCATGTTTTCTGTCCTCATTCTCCTTTGCATTTACCTTTCCTGGATCAGTGTTCTCAGGACTGGGGACTGAGGACCCTTTCTTGTTGCTCCCTCTTCCCATACTTTTTGTTCCTTCCATACAAGCGTATATAGGAGGACCAGTATTTTTCTTTGTCTGTTTCAGTTTGTTTGAATTGTACTGGCTAGGTGTTCCTGCCCACTGTAATGTACTAGGGAGACACAGACCTGGGTAGCCTCTGCTGGGCCCTCCCCTCCAGGTCAACCTACTGAAGGCTTCACTGCTAGGGTGCACCGCCAGGTGCTGGGACCTGGTTTGGGCTAGCCTACTGGGTCTTAGTCAGTGGTGTCACCTAGGCCAAGCGCTCCCCACCAATCCCACTTGAGAGGGGAATATGCAACTAAAGTCACTGCAACGTCCTTTTCCGGCTAGTCTGCCTGATCCCAGAATGTCCTTTTTTGGAGCCTCCTAGTCTATGGAAGGGTCCCCGTTCCTCTCACTCACCACAGGTTGATGCAGGGCTCCCCACCAGTCCTGCTGTCAACTCTGTTCACCGATTCCTGCTCTCAGAGCTTTCACATGTCTCTTTCCCTGTTGTGCTGATTTGGATGCAGCAGCTGCAGCAGGAAATTCAAATCAAGGCTTCCAGAGGCACAGGTTCCAGCTTCCGTGCTGAGATTTTATCTGTTCTGGTTGTAGCTCCAGGATTGCATTTCCAGTTGGTTTCTCTCTGCTTAGTTCATTCCTGGGTTGGCAGGGTATATCTCCTCTTGCTGAGGACTCCTCACACTGCACCATTCCTGGATTCTAAGCTGGGTATCTCAGAGAGCCTCAATAGCTGCTGTTATTTATCCTTCATGTTCTCCCAGAAGTAATTGGAACTGAATCTATTTATAAACACTTGTGGACTTCAACTGAAGTCTTCAAGTAAAGATGATATAATTGAATTCTCAACATTTTCTGGATTTTTTGACATCTCAAACAGGTCACATGAAGATGCTCATTTCTGCAGTGAGTCGGCAATTATTATTTTAATATATCAACTTTCAAAGATGCCTCACAAATGAATGTCTTATCCTTACTGGATAATTTATAACTTATAATTATAACTTATATTTATAACTTATAATTTATAACTGTTAAAAGAAATGAGTCATGTTTATTAAAATCCTGAACATGTTATCTTATATTGTGGACTGAATGCTTACATATCCCCACAAATTCTCATGTCAAGTAGGAAGTCTTGATCCCCAAAATGATTTATGCTTAGAGATGAGGCTTTGAACGGTAAGGAGAGTTTGATGATAATGAGAACAGTGCCCTGGTCCAGTGGGATCAGTGCCTTTAAACAAAGCGACACTTGGGAGCTTGTTCATATTCTGTATCTCAGAATTTTGCTGCCCACAAGCCCAAAGAGGGCCCTTACCAGAATCTGAGCCAGGGCACCCCAATCTCCGACTTTGAGCCTTAAACTT